AGGTTTATGTACTTCTGAGGTACGCCTTTCAATGACAGACACTGCCACAGAGTCTCGCGGTCTACAGAGTCAAATGCTGCTTTTAAGTCAAGAAAGACCACCATCGTCGGACGCCGATAGGTATGCCTGTGTTCTAGAACCTGACGAATGGTGAATATGTGGTCGATGCAGCCACGACCAGGTCTAAAGCCAGCTTGGTTCTCTCGTGTTTGTAGTTCACGAGTCTTAGTTAGGCGTTTGATAATTATCGAGGCCAGTATTTTAGATACTATGTTTGTTAAACTAATCCCTCTGTGGTTGTCACAGGATGATTTTGACCCTTTCTTATATATTGGGACGATAAGTGATTGCGACCAGTCAGATGGGATAACGTCTAACTCCCAGATTTTAGCCAAAATATTAGTCAACCTAGTCGCTAAAATTGGACCACCATCCTTAAAGACTTCTGGAGCCAGTCCATCTGGACCAGCTGCCCTTCCTCGTTTCAGATTAACTATAGCCTTCTCAACTTCAGCAAGAGTTGGGGGACCTACTTCAATGTTCCATTCACTTTGTCTGGGAATGGAGGGTAGTTGTAGAGTAGCTGAAGGCCAGCTGAACTGTTCTCTAAAATGTTCCGCCCATCGTTCTAAACGTCTGGACTGGGAGCAGATGAGAGTATCATCTTTTTCCGAAATAATCTCACTTACACTTGACTTATTAGTTCCAGTTTCTTTTATTAGTCTGTAAAGCTGTCTTGTGTTCCCTATAGTCGCCGCCTTTTCCATCTCTTTTGCTTTCGTTACCCACCACTGCTCACGGTCGTTCCTTAGACTTTTTCTTAACCTAGATCTGATTTGTTTACGCTCTTCATCATGTTCAGAACCTGATGGGACGAGTTTGCGAGAATCCATCAGTGTGACAGACCTTGAAGAAATCCACTGGTTCCTTGTAACTCTGTGGTTTAAGTCACTAATAGATGTCACTGCTGTTTCCACAGCTGCTTGTATGTCCTTCCAAGCAACATCTGGGTCAGCCTCGTCTTCACAACTAACTAAGTGTGACCTCAGTTGTTCCTGGAACCTACTTTTGGTTTTCTCGTTACTCAACTCAGTTCTAATGGGTCTTTTTAATGTGGCTTTTTTGCGTCCATTGAGGCGCAAGCAGATGCGTGCCCGTATTAGGGCATGGTCGGAGTCCAAGCAGGTGCTCCAGAATGAACGACAATCTTCTACCGACCCTCTCCAACGATGACTGATGGCAATATGGTCTATTTGAGTCCATCGTTGGTTTGGTGTAGGGGGTCGCCATGTTAGACGATGTCTCTCCTTATGCTTAAAATTTGTGTTTGCTAAAAATAAACGATTGTCTGAGCATAGCTGCAGCAGACGATCACCATTATCTGTTCGCTGTGTCGGAATACTAAAATATCCACCTAAATGCCTTTCTGTTTGGTTTAAACTGCCTATCTGAGCATTAAAATCACCTGCTACGAGTACTATGTCTGAGCGTTTAGCTTTCTGAAGAAGTTCGGATAGCTTTCTGTAAAATTCATCTTTCACTTCATCTGAGCTGCAGTCAGTGGGAGCGTAGGCAGAAACGACAAAAAGGCAACGACGTGTGTCCCTATCCTTCCGAGTTCTTACGTAGCCGTTCAGCCGAACAGCACATAGACGACTGTTGACGGGGATCCACTCTAGCAGTGCTTGTTCGGCCCTTATGCTTAGTGCTATGCCTACACCTGCCAGTCCACGAGAACTTGCCATCGGGTCACCGGACACACGAAGGGTGTATCTCGTTGGCTCTCCGTCTTGCCGAGGTGAGGTCAAGTGAATGACCACACTGGAATCCTGTATGCGTGTTTCGGAGACACAGCATACATCAATGGAAAGAGACTCTAGGGTTTTAGCCAAGGAAGCCTGCTGACCGATTTGACATAGGGTGCGTACGTTGAAGGCTCCAATGTGTAGTTTGGAGCGAGGTTTCAGTAGACCTGGGACAGTGTTTTGCGCACTAGAATCGTTGGCTACGGTGACACTTGAGGTGGAAGCCGAGAGAGGAAATACAGAGTTGAAAGTCGATGTAGGAGGAATAATAGGAATTGAAGAGGAGGTTGATTATGAATACAGTGGACTTGAGTGCTGTTAGAAGTATGAGGGCGGTTATCACTTCCCGGTTGCCCACACCGTGGAAGGGTTGTTCTGGAGGTACCTGAAAAGGAAATTGGATTAAAGGTGGTCTTAGTGAACTGAGAGCGTGACCGCAGTGCCCAAGGGACAACTGCTTGAGGTCGGTCACACACGACCTTGTTATGGGTAATTTTTGTGTTAGCTCCGTACTTATTGAGACCTTACCGCCGGAGACGGATATCCGTGGGATAAGGCGAGGTGTGCATTTTTAGGGTCGACCTTTTCTAACCCCACCCCTCCTTGTGGGAAGGCAGCATCGCTGTCATGCTGGTTGTCTGAAGGAAACACCTTACTGCTGTCACACCTCTGTACAGTCAGCAGTACGACTTCGCCTTCGGACCTTGGGTTTGTTGCTTTTAGTCTTACCGCTCTTCAACCGACCTGTCTGACATGGTAGGACCTTGAGGAACGGTTGTTCCAGCCAGTATAGCTCGGTTGCTTCATCACGATAGGCAAGCCCGACCACCACGTCAAGGTAGCAACAACGGTCGGGATCGATTGCTGTAGAGAAAACACATCTCTAGATTAACGACTGCAAGATAATCACAATCTAGTTATTTTTGCTAGGTGACATCGCCCAATCGATCTATCGTAGTGGCTCGGTTGCACTCATACTTCCGCTCAATCTTGAATTTCGTATTAGGCACCATACCCTACTTTATCTATTTGATTTTGAATATATGTGATCATACAAGCAGACCGTGGTCATTTATATTGGTTTCACCTCTGAAAGCATAAAAGTGGACGGCAGTATGTATTTAGACGTATTGCACTAAAGTTAGCTGAAGTATTTAAATTACTCTGGCATCAGGACCAAAAACTGCTCAATTACTTTATGGTGTTTTCAGTAAGATAAGTGTAATGTCATTGGATTCGCCACCAAAATCCAAGGATTTTTGTGTAGTTCTAAGTGTTAGTTGTAAATTTAAGGAATTTATCCTGAAATCCCTTCAGCCATCTAAGTTTATGTATTAAAACTGCAGGTAGTCTTATATACTCATGCTTTTTTAGTTGTACACAGATGCCTTTTTTTAACATTTTAGGTACTGAAGTGTGTGGGCGTCTTTCTCTTAAACATATCTATCACATTGCTGAGCTCAAAAAACAAGATCCACATTTATTTACAGAGGATTTGCAAGATATTTGTAAAATGTTAATTGGTACAGCACATCGTTTGGGTATTGAGATTGTAACACAAGATGACATCGAATCTGGAAAAGTTGACTACACACCCAGTGGATATGCGAATTTCCTCCAAGATCGTGAAGCATATCTCAAACAGAAAAAGCTAGAGACGGAAACTGCCAAACAAAGCAAAATGATGAGATGTAAATCAATATCTTGTATGCAGTAGAAGTATAGCTTTCCCAACATTTAGCAGTATTTCTTATTGTTATAAATTTGTAAAGTCGGCTTAATAATGAAAGCATTTGGTTTTCAACCAACTGATCGCAGACTACATATCCACTTTTTCTAATTGTTTGGTCAGTGAGATTACACTACCAACCCTCATACACACAATCCAGTCCAAAGATATGCCTAAACCTGTACTTAGCAAATTTACGATCTTTAAAATTAGTCCATTCTTTTAGTACTATATCTTTCTATAACACTAAAGATAATTCGTGTCAATTAACCTATTGATATTGTTTGTGTAAGGCTTAGCAAAAAATAAACCATGTTATCAGAAATGGAGACCACACCATAAATGTGGAGGATCTCAACTCGATAATTTTGCATGTTGTGAACGGCCTATGCTTTCTGTAAGTCACAACACTGTCTGATTGTAGATAGCTTAGGGTTCAAAAATTGTAAAAATGGGACATACCTCTAGTACAAAAGCGTATTTAATACGACAACACAGACCAAACGACTTATGCACAAATGACACTAATGTAGATTACCACCATATGAGAACGGGAGCCCTAATGCCCCAACTAACTGAGTAGCACCAGACACATGTATGATCTTAAATAATGACAGTCCCTTAATTTCGCGAAATATTGAGGTAACGTAATGTAATACAAATCACTTGTTTGTATAAAGTGATCAGGCTTTAACAGCTCGATAAGTAACTACATGAGAAATAATTTTTGGATTCAGTATACGACTCATCCATTACTAAAACTGTCAAATGATTCAGCTGTAGTTAACGTGTTTGGTGTTGGTAGCCAGTGTCATATGATGATTAATAAGATTAGAAATCAGTGTGATTCCATACAATAGAAGTGTTGATACAGAGTTAAACATTATTCAGTACTGCTATTTTATTGACACTCCATCAAACGAAAGAATACGCCTCAAAACCGAGCTTATATTCTAGATTTATTAAGAACCGATAAGCCACGATTTTCAATTACGAACGTTATATTTCCTTGTGAGGTTAGTCACATTCAACGCCTGCAACCACTGTTTCTTACAATCAAGCGAGTAGCCTATTGGAATTTTACTAAGTTTTAGTCATTACACTTATATACTCCAAATTTTTGAGATAACCTTTCATATATTTGATAAGTAAACACAGCCGACTTTAAGTGGTTGACACCAATTTCTGTTAATTAGTTACTAATGTGTAGCTTGTTTCAAGTGATTTAGATGGTAGATCGATTTTCGGACGTGGCGTACATCGTGTAGGCTGAAATGCCCTAGTTTTATAGAACTCACATTAACAAAATTATTGGTACATAACTTATATGTATTACAAAGGTGGTGTAGTGTATAGGAATTAACATTTCGCTCAAGTTACAGCCAGGGTATATTAAATTGTAGAGTTTATCTATACAAATGATAGGAAGTAATCAAAAGTCAGAAAACAAGGAAGTACATGATTGTTTATATAATGGCTTGACAGTGTTCATGTTGGGGTTCCATAGATCGAGAATTATCCTTTCTCATTTGAGGATAACTACGCCAAAGTGGAAGTTCAACATTTTGACCTAGAAGCTGGCCGCAACGACAGCATGGGGCACTGAACAAGTCGCGATAACTGTGAAGCCAAGCACAAAACCCACGAATGGCAGAAGGAGGTTTATATTCATTAGAAAAATGAAGAAGGGCACATTGGGCTAAGGAAGTGATACGCCGAAACAATGGATGACGACTTGGTGTAAAAAGATCGAGCTTCGATTGATGTATATTACAAAAGCGGATGAGTTTTGAGCCTCGCTGTTGTCTATGGTCTGGAAGTGATCGAGCTTTCGAGTCAGGACTTAGTAAAGAGACAACAGTATCACGGATTTTCGGCAATGAATCAAGACCTGAATCAGATAATAGTTCCTCGGTTGCTAAAGATAAGGGTTTTTCATCAATATTTAAATTGTTGTTCGGGAAATCAGAGTGTGTTTTTATAATCATCGGTTCCGATACTCACGAACAATAATTCTTTCTGGATTCAACTGACGAAAAGTCACAAAGCATTGCATTATCTCACCAACCTTTAGAAAGACAAAATGACATAAAACTGAGGTTGGGTTGAATTTTAATGGTTGTTTTAGGATAGTTTTCATAATAAAATTGAAGTACTTTTTAGAATAAAATAATCGTAATAATTCTTTTTTTTTAAATTAACACTACGAAGTTTTCTAATGTAAAATAAAGTTTGTTTACCTCCTAGAGTGTGGCGATAAATTTATTAAAAACAGATGATAACAAGAAGTCTAGATAATACCCATTAAATCATCATTAACTATGCCATACAGCATGACACAAGTTCTTTTGCATAAGCAAGAGGTTGATGTTGTACATTGGCATGCATAACCGAGGGAAGGATTTTACTAGTTACGTACATAACCTATTATATCCAAAAATAGTGAAGTGAGCAGTTCAGTTAGGAAAAATATAACCAGAAGGAATTCTCTCAGTTAAAGAGGTTCCTCTCACTTTTATGAAGTAAAAACAAGTTAAAGCAAGATCGTCATCGGTTTCTATTTTGAGCCATGTTTGATAGCCTCAAGCCACTGTGTTGGATTATCTCTCGGACCGACAGATACCAGTCCTCTCTTACAACCCGGCACTATGTTATAGACTGATCACTTCTCCAATCAGTCCCAGTGTCGGCAAATAATGCACAATATGGAATTCATTGGGACGACATTATTACTTCGTCTAATCTGAAATAGAGCTTTCCCGTTAGCCTTCACATTTAGTGTAACTTATAACCAAGTTCCTGGTAAATGAGTTAATTAAATTAAACTCCAACTTGTCTACAGAGGTTTGCATACTTGAGCAATATTAGCACACATACAATAAGCAACTCACAAATTGATATATTAATCCGGAAGTGGAGTTGCGTTCTTCTGAAACATTAAATTGCAATCACTGAAATGTGCTCCACAATTCCGATGATCTGTATGTAATTTGAAGCTAAACTTTCGAAAACACGCTAATGTATGCCGAAGAAGTGAAATAACATGTGGAGTACCAATTAACTGTATTTGTATGTTTGTATAAGGAACTAGTAAATGTTACTCCGTAAGACCACTGATGAAAATGCCATAAAAATGCTACTGCATAAAGTAATTTAACAATAAATTACCTTATACTTACTCTTAAATGTGCTACGGATACAACAGATGATGGTTCGATTAACGTTATAGTGAGGTCGGGCAAATTAACATTTAATTCATTGAGTAAATGTTCCAAATCAGCACCATAATCTCGATTGATTATATTGAGAAAATCCGTCCGCCTGCGGGAATGATCTGTATTTAAATGAGAGCTATAAAATAGATAGATTGCATCAATTTGCGTCAACATTAGCATGAATTAAAGATTATTTATCCGATTGATAATCCTGGAGAGATTAATTTGATGGTGGTTTCTTGAAACTAAGGTCAAATGCAATGATGAATAGTATGTGGTTAACCAAGTAATACAACCTATTATTGACGGCAAGTGTATTATTTATTGATAGGCCTTATAGCCGGATGCTTAAATTGGTTTCCTAAGCTCTTTTGATAACCCCTGGCTAAATCTAAACAACTTGAACAAGAGAGATAAGATGCGAGGTTTGAAAAGAAGGCTGTACTGCAAGGCTAGTATTTATAACATTTCAGATGGTCTTGGGATTCTGGGAGGTTCTGAGACTATACTAGGTATAGTTGCAGGATCTGTAGTCATATTGTCAGAAATGCTACATGTGACTTCACTTTTGAGATGTTTCTGAGAAGCTTCTATTTAACACTGATCGAATAAAATGCTTCCAACATATACTTAACAGGGCATTATATATGACCAAATTGTTCGAAATGTATAGCCCACATATATAACGTTTTTCAGATCAACTCCACCTTCTCATTGCTCCATGAAAATTGATCAAAGGGACTAATTGCTTTAAAGTATCCCAAAGTGTTAATTAATGGCTTCGATATTATATGTCTATTCAGACACTATATGACTTATTCTACCTCCAATCCAGTTAACATAACATAGACAAATTATTTATGGTAGATGCCTTTCATATAAGACAAGGTTAACTTTATGAAACTTATTTTATCGCCAGATATAGTTAAGTTTCATGTCTATTAATAAGATTATTATATCTTTGCTGTTTTACGTGTAAATAAACGTATCGTTTATAGCAAGAAAAGTCACAGCAAATTTTACGTAATGTGGTCGCTTAGCAGAATGTAGTAATAGAAAGCAGAATCCAAAAGTGTTGGAAAAATTAACTGAAACACAGGATACATCGACGTAATATATTACTAAAGATAAAAGTTAAAAGTACCGTCTAAATGCGGAGCAAGCCAGTAAACCTTCAAGCACAGTACGAGTGCGCCCCCAATATCTATGACTCCAACGTTCTGCTTCGATTCTATCCATAAGCCAGTCGACACGACGACAATCAGATTCTTTCCCGTGATCATCGGTCCCCATGTACTGAGATAGCGAAGATTCATATAGCCAACTATTACGGCTAAATTCTAACTGTTCAACGGTGTTAAACAGAGATAATGCATTTTGTAAACCATGGTCACTAGGTCGACCAGATAACCGATTGACCTGCATTCGACTGGCTAGTTGATCCAAATTAATAAAAACATCACTACAATAAAAAACAAATAAGTATGTTAAATAAAAGGCTTGAGAAAGATATATGTTCAAAGCAACTAATTGGCAACACATTTAAGAACTTTCAGAACCCTCCGTGGAATCATATTCTCTCGGGTATTTTACAACATAGTTGGAGATCAAAACGTGAGCGGTACCTGTAGTTTCGACGTATGTATAAACTAATCATTGGTTTCGGGAGCTTCCTTATATGTTCCATTTTGTGCAGAAATATAAAAACATAACCAGTTTAAAACGTATCGTTATATTCATATTGCAACTCTTAGGTTGAAATACTAAGGAATAATATGATGCATTGGTTCTAGTTGTGAACTACAGACTACATTTGAATATAGTAATGTTAGAAGAACATTAACTTGGCTTTGTTCAGCACGTCGGTAGCGTTGCTTTTTCGAATCTATGCATTTGTTCTAAGGCTTGATTTAGTGAGTAACTGATAATCAGCTAAATCATACCATTGTTCATGGTTTGTCTATCGACATTGGTAGTAAAAAAAGACTTCATATATGGATATAATACAGGGAGAAAGAATTGATTGGTAGGAAGATATAAAGCACTTTTAATCTCAAAGTTTCAGGGCAGAAAAAGTGTATACACCTACGCTAGTGTGATCGACTCTGAGCCATGTCACCAAGAATCTCCGAACATGGGTTACGATAGTCACGTGGACCCCGACCAAGTAGTCTGCATCTAACGACATGGCTCAGACTAGAAGTCAGTGACTTCAAGGATTGATGCCATGTTTTGGTTTGGCTGCCCCTAACTTTCTTCCAACCGTCTCCAACACCAATTAGCGTTGCACGTCATGGTAATCAGTATTCAGGCATAAGTGACGCGTCGCCCAACCATCTTGGTCGATGAAGATTTACAACCCTATCAACTGATTTAACATCATTCCCCGATACCATGCGTTGCCCACTACTGCTCACGGTCGTCCCTTAGACTTTTGGTTAACCTAGATCTGATTTGTTTTCGCTCGTCATCATGTTCAGAACCTAGTGGGTTTAGGCAATTTTCCAAGTCTTTTTCTTACCTGATTTGATTGACTATTTTGTGTAATGCTAACTTTTCACACGATAAATTCTTCGTACCAATAGTTTGAGGGAGGTTGTTGCGACATTCTGGCACGAACCCGTTTGTTTTTCCTTCTCCAGTTGTAAATAGAGGACTAGGAATGTTTCACACTTCGTACTACCATTCCTATTGAATAGCATAAAGTTTTCGTCCACAATCTTATTTTTTTCCTCAGGATCTTTTTCATCAGATTGTATAGAAGTCAACAAATTAGTTAGAAGTAGTCTAAGTCGTTGAATTTCATATAAGCTCTCCTGTGCAAGAGATGAGATATTATTCTGCACGAAACTGCCAGAATAAAATGTTGGGAAATTCACATTCATTGCTGGATGAGGCATTGGTGGGCATTCCATAATGGGAGGAATATGTGTTGGTTTAATATTTGGTTGAGAGGCGAACATTTCATAATTGAGATAAAAACCTAAAAAACAAACGTAACTTGAGACAAGGGAAAAGTTAGGAACGGTGTGGTGTATAACTATTACTATCAAATAAGATCCCAATATGCGAAATCCAAAATATAGGGGTGTATTTAACGGTTAAAACTGCTATGAATATGGGATGAAAATGACCGGACGAAACGATCGATTTTCTGAAGTAGACTAATAAACAACGAACAAAAAATTGGTAACATAGGCTTTCCACATGCATTAAACTTTAAAAAGCCATAAGCACTCGTGCTTGACACGAATTTCAGGTCCTCTAGGAAAAACGAATGAGTACGATGAGCATTGTATCTCAATCTGACTAAATTGGGGAATACCCAAAATTTCCCCAAAACTTAGGCGATTTTCCCCAGGATCTTATTACACATATTTCTTACGACTTTATGAAAAATCCCGAAATTCCCCAAAGTCTTCCCAAAAAATAAGGAGATTGAGATCGGCTTGCAAACAATATTTCGTTCGGCTAAGGCACAAATATTCGTAATTTGAACATGATCCCATTGGTCTGTATTCTAAGTATCTATACACATAGACAACACTTGTTTGTTTTCAAACAAATGCACAATATAATGGGATCCCTTAACTTACATATCAGAAACTAAGAGTCTTCTAGGAACTTTTGTAAACGTTGACTAACTGTTCATAACAGTGAAACTTACGCTTGTCCAGGAAGAATAACGAAGAACTACAGAAAAGGGAAAGAACAAACAAATTCAGTGACTATAATTTATGGACGACCTTTTAGCGACGTTAAAGTGACCTTAATAATTTTTGGTGAGACCATAATTTATGAACCTTTGAGTGACTCGAAAGCGTCCTTCAAAATATCCATCAACTGACTAGATTTAGATTTGTGTGGTAAGGACAGAAGGCCTACGGCCTATGTTATCCCTTTTCTAGTATGCTTCTGTGAGTGTCCAGTCTTCTCTTGAAAGAGTCGATTGAAGGTGCGGACACCACTGCTTCGGGCAGCAGGTTCCAATCATTGATGACTCGATGTGAAAACCTGTATGCCGCTGGTATTTTGTTCGTTCTTGGCTTTTCTACTCGCCTGCTATGTCCTCTAAGATGTCCCGATCTAGTGGGGACAAAAAGAGAGAATAAGTTAGGTCCAAAATCGTTCCTCAGTATTCTGTACATCAAAATTAGATCCCCCCTTAATCTGCGATAGGACAGAGTAAAGAGGTCCAGCTTTTCAAACCGCTGTTTGTATGATAAACCCCGGAGTTCTGGAGTTGCACGAGTAGCTGCCCTCTCTACTTTTCTAGGATATCCGAGTCACCCTTTAAACAGTGGCTTGCAGTCTGAACGCAGTTCTCAAGCTTGGTTCTCACTAAGGATGTGTATACTGTGGTGAACATGGTAGTATCTAACTTAGTGAATGTCCGTTTTAAAGCCCAGAGTGTTCGGAATCCCTTAGCTGGGACTTCCCGGCAATGGGCCGTCGTCTTAGGATCATGACTCACTGTCACTTCTAGATCCTTATGAGACCGGATCACGGGTAACGGCACTTCCCTATGTTGTACTTAATAATCTTTGAATCCCCAAAGTGCATTTAGATACACTTTGCCGCGTTGATAGGCATCAGCCACTCTTTAGACCAGTTAATCATATTAGATGGTGGTTGGAGGTAGTCAACAGGAAACCCTGGACCCGGGTTTCGTGCTACTTGGCACTCGTCAGCAAGGTGTACCTGTAATCTTGAGGGAACTGGTGCTCCCTGGCGGATTCGATCTCGTGTCACCCAGCTTCACAGTCAGAAGCGTTACCACTGAGCTATCCGAGCCGTGACTAACCTCCTGTAGGACTGAGATGTAATCACAATTGATTGATCACTGTATGGTGATCAATGTCATGCTTGTCTAGTCCTTATTAGTGCAGATCGACCAGTTAATCATATTATTTAAGTCTGTCTAAAGAGCACATGCGTCAGTGTCTCCAGTTGTTACTCGCTAGATCTTTACATCGTCAGCGTATAATAACATTGGAGACTATACTATACTTGGAAGATTAACTTACATTATAAAAAGTAAAGGACCTAGGACGGAACCTTGAGGTATTCCACTAAGTACTGGTCTCCAGATGGAGCACTTGGAATTTATTCTTACCTTCTGTCCACGACCTACTAGGAAATCCTTAATCCATTTTAAAAGAGGTCCGGAAATACCAAGGTTTCTCAACTTCAATGTATGGGAGTGACGACTGCGTCCTTCCAATTCATAAGTAACACACCTTGGTCAAGTGACATATTGAATATCAGTCAGTGGGGCTGCGATATATTGTGCAATATGTCTCAAGATTTTGGGGTGTAGTTCATCTGGTCCTGTTGACTTTTCCATGTTCAAGGTGCTAAGAGCATCAAGCACATCATCTTGATCGAAGTCAACGGTGAGCAGGTGGTTTTTTGACTCTTTATTTTGGTTTGGTCTTTTATCTAGAGGGGGTTCCTGAGTGAACACTGCCCCAAAATAGTCAGCCATAGCCTCTGCTTCTTCCTGATCTCCCTCTATCATTTCACATTCATCCCCTTCCTTAATTAGGTTGGGAATCCAATGATGCATCCTTGTTCCGTAGTTTATGTACGAGAATATTCTCTTGGGCTGCCTGAGTGCAGATTGTACCAACTGTATTTCATATTTTCTTCGAGCTTCCCGAATTTTCGTTATGCACTTGTTTTATACCGATCTGTAGCGTTCCATCGTACCTGCTGTGCCAAGGCAGATGGCAACATCCCAACATTTTTACTTTTGTCTAAGTAAACGTCATATATCCCGGCCTATCCAGGGTTGGCCGTGCATCTTCTTCTTTGGAACTGTCCAGGGCATTTATGGTTGAGTTGCCCGATTGTATAACTGCATGAAAAGAGTTCATGCCTCTTGTACTGATGCCCTTGTGCCAATTTCCCAGTTTTAAGTCGATGCTGCGGAGTTGATTGCCTCCATATCTGTTTTCCATACATTAGGACGGGCCGGCGCAACCGTTTGATAGGCAATCTCAGCCATGAATTTGAATATGACTGCATGGTCACTTCTCTCTAGTGGTGGGAGGAAAGTCATTTGACCAACGTCATCACTGTGTGTGAAGACTAAATCTAAAAGAGAAGAGTTTCTTAAATTATACATTGTGGGGTACAGGATAACCCCGCCTTCCCTACAGTTTAATCTATCAGCCCTGGTGGTTAAAAATCCAGTCAACTGAATTTCATTACCTAAGACTTCTGACGTTAACCAAGTTTCTGAGACAGCAATAACATCCGGTTTTTCTTTATCCACCACTGACCTGAACTTTGCCATTTTATTTAGTAGGCTGCGAGCATTTGTGTAGCATATCTTTAAGTCTGTGGGAGACTTTTCCTTACCACCCAGAGCGGTTTGGAGATCGTTTTGCTCCGAACTTTTACATTTTGAAAACCCTTAAGAACAAGGTTTCCTTCACAGTTTCGGCGATCCTCATTTATTTTCAGTTCTGCAGCTCGTCTCTTAAAACGATCAGCTAGGCTATGATCCTCACGGACGTATATTTTGGATCCAATCAGTTAACGTGAGTTACCTAGGATCAGTTTCCTTTCTTCAACCGTGGCGAATGTAACCTTCGAGAGGCGGTTTTTCTGATGAATTTCGGAGCTTACTAACTCCTGAAACTGTATCTGGGAGTAAATTGCTTATTCAGGACTTAATATGACTGAGGTCGTGTTCAAACCTAGCCTTTGGTTTCTTATCGGAAGATTCTCTTAACTTATGAAAAATGACTGACCTCTCAGAGAAGTCTGTCTTGACACACAGTGGAGTTTTTGTTTCTGATACCGTCTCTTCCAATGATTTGCTAACCAGCTGCGTTCGACGTACAGCTTTTTTCTTCTCATGTCTTTTTCTCCGTACTGAAGTCCATTTATCATCACTCAAGACAGCCGCACCTGGACTATTTGGAACGGTGAGTTTTATCTGGGTCTTCAATTTCCACTAGAGGTGTATGATTACCAATATCAAGTGGCACTTCACTCCTCGTTAATGTTAACGGATCGGTAACTTCTCATTTGTACAGCAAAGCATACAAAGCCACCAACCTCGAGGTTGGTGTTGAATGAGGGTTTTAAACCTGTGTGAAGGATAAGGATTGTGATTTGCATCGGGCAATTATGTTGAGAAATTATATCTAGGGTTTTCATCACGAAATGATATCAGCTAGAACGACAAGACGCTATTTAGCCATATGGATAAAGAATTTCGAGCTGAAATTCAAGACCTGTTATCGTAAACCATACTACTTCGAACATGAACTATAGTCTCGCAAAAAGACATTAGGAATTCAGATAAAGTGTGGGAGATTAATGAGCAAGAAGAACGTCGCATAATTTCTACTTGCACATCCACTTTCAAAAGCGTAGTGAGGAATTCCGAATATGTGGTCAAGGACATTCACAGTGTACAATTGTTAGTTTCAGTTTTGGAAGGACAGGAGGCTTGATGGCCTGTGTTAGTCCTGGCAATGGTGGTCTCTCAGTTGATCCAACTTTCTTTTGAAAGAGTCGACGGATGAAACCTCAACCACGTGCTGAGGTAATGAATTCCATTCGTTGATGATTCGATGGGAAAGTCGATAGTCACTTACTTTACTTACTTACGCCTGTTACTCCTCGTGAAGGAGCATAGGCCACTCACCAGCATTCTCCATCCAACCCTGTCCTGGGCAATCCTTTCCAGCTCCGTCCAGTTGTAATTCATCCTTTTCATATCTGCTTCTATTTCCCGACGCAATGTGTTCTTTGGCCTTCCTCTTTTTCGCTTCCCTTCAGGATTCCAAGTTAGGGCTTGCCTCGTGATGCAGTTTGACGATTTGCGTAATGTATGTCCTATCCATTTCCATCGTCTTTTCCTAATTTCTTCTTCAGCTGGAAGTTGGTTTGTTCTCTCCCACAGAAGGCTATTGCTGATGGTATCCGGCCAATGGATGTTGAGTATCTTGCGTAGGCAGCTATTTATAAATACTTGTACTTTCTTGATTGTGGTTGTTGTAGTTCTCCAAGTTTCAGCTCCATACAGTAGAACTGCCTTGACGTTCGTATTGAAGATTCTCACTTTGATATTGGTTGAAAGTTGTTTTGAGTTCCATATGTTCTTCAATTGTAGGAATGCGACCCTTGCTTTGCCGATCCTCGCCTTTACGTCTGCATCTGAACCTCCTTGTTCATCGATGATGCTTCCTAGGTATGTGAAGGACTCTACATCTTCCAGAGTTTCGCCATCAAGAGTGATTGGATTGCTGTTCTCCGTTTGAATTTGAGGACCTTGGTTTTCCCTTTGTGTATGCTGAGGCCTACTGATGCAGAGACTGCTGCTACACTGGCTGTCTTCATCTGCATCTGTTCGTGTGTACGTGATAGGAGGGCTAGGTCGTCTGCGAAGTCCAAATCGTCTAATTGATTCTGAGTTGTCCATTGTATTCCGTGTTTTCCTTCAGATGTCGAGGTCTTCATAATCCAGTCGACCACCAGAAGAAAGAGGAAGGGAGAGAGTAAACAGCCTTGTCTGACTCCAGTCCTTACTTGGAATGCATCTGTCAGCTGTCCTCCATGCACTACTTTGCACTGTAGTCCGTCGTATGAGTTCCGGATAATGTTGACAATCTTCTCAGGAACTCCGTAGTGTCGAAGAAGTTTCCATAATGTCCTCCTATCTACACTGTCGAATGCCTTTTCATAATCAATGAAGTTGATGTATAGTGATGAGTTCCACTCAACTGATTGTTCGACGATGATCCGTAGTGTTGCAATTTGGTCTGTGCACGACCGATCCTTACGGAATCCAGCTTGTTGATCTCGAAGTTGGGCGTCTACTGCATCCTTCATCCGGTTCAGCAACACTCTGTTGAAGACTTTCCCTGGTATTGACAGTAGTGTAATGCCTCTGTAGTTTTC